CGGGGTGTGGTGGTGCACACCTGTAATCCCAGCACTCGGGAGGCTGAGGCAGGAAGATTGCTGTGAGACCAGCCTGGACTACATAGTGAGTTCCAGGTCAGTTTCAACTACATAGTGAGACCCTGTCTCCAAAAAAAAAAGAAAAAAAACCCTTAACCACTGATATGTGCCCAGACCAATTTCTGCATCTGCTAGTGTTTTGACTCCACGTATATCTAGACAGATCATTTTGGTATGATTTTTATTTCTCATATTTGAAATTATAATGCTCAACATGTTTTGTTTTGTTTTTTTAATTACATAGCCTCCTTTTGTTTGCATCTTTCCCCACTAGTTGGGTATGAACTCAAGCCTAAAATCGGGGTCCTGAGGAGCTTGAGTTACAATGAAGGTACAGGAAGTCCAAGCCGTTAGTGCTTTTGGGTTAGTGCTGGTGTGGGGCAAGGGAGTGCTTTTAGGGGCCTGAGGCCTGGGTTGGATAATAGGGGCTGACTGCTCCAGTGCCCACAGTTATAGTTTGTCTCTTTACCCTATCATGAGATAAAAACTGTGGGTAGGAAATGGCTGTTATTAGAAGGTAGAGAAAATGTTCCAGTTCCACTGAGGAAGGGGTAGGTGCTGTTGGTGGACCTTTGTGTGAGCTTACAGGCGCCCTTCCTTTCCTCCGTTTATTCTTGGTCTCAATGACTTGTAGATTTCCTGTTAGTGGGAACAGAAATGACAGGAACGAGTTTTCATCACAGAAATGAAGGCGTCCAGCCACCCATTTTTCCCTTGTTTTTCTGAAGCCTCTGAACTTCTCAGGGATCCAGGCATCTAGGTTTTTTTTGTTGTTGTTTTTGTTTTTGAGACAGCGTCTCACTATGTAGTTGAGACTGACCTGGAACTCACTATGTAGCCCAGGCTGGTCTCGAACTCACAGCGATCCTCCTGCCTCAGCCTCCTGAGTGCTGGGATTTCAAGGCTGCCTCACCTCACGGTATTTGGTTTAAAGATGTCACAACCTCCCCCTCCTCTCACCACGATCTGGCAATTCCTGAACCTCTCAATAAGCAAGTAATGAGTGCTTATCTCTCCAGAATCAGTTTAGCCACTACCTATCCTTAAGTGCAGGCCTTGCTGCTGAAAAATAGACAAACCGGGCCCACGACAGAAACTAGACGCCAGCATCACGCGGGACCCTAAGCAGCCAGCCTCCTCGGGTCCCTCTTACGCATGCGCTCCACTCACTGCCTGTCCTGAAGGGTTTTAATCCCGCCCAGCCTTTCTGGCCCCGCCCCCTGCCCGGAGTCCCGGTCCTCACTGGCGAGCTATGGACAGGATGTCTGCCCTCTGGGCCAGGTGCTGACATTCACAAAGGTAAAACAACCCACCCCAAGACTGGCGCGCGTCTGGAGCCTGGCCCAAATCCAGTTCGGCTCCCTATTCTTTTGCCGAACACTGGGATCCGCCTGTGATCTCAGGCCTGGACTTGCAGCTTCGGACCAGCGGGGCCACGCCTCCGCGCTGGAGTCCGGACTGGCCCTGGCCTGTCCTAGCTCCTAGGCGACTCGGTCGGTCTCCTCCCCTCGCCTCGGGAAGGGCGCATGCGCCTCTCACTGTACCTCCTCTCTACCAGCCTCTCCAGTCCCCAGCGCCCCTCCCTCCGCGCTGTTCTCCAGAGCGCATGGGTGGTGGGCTGAGGTGACGCGTTCAGAGCCCAGCTCCCGCAGGGGCAGTTAGTGGCGGCAGGGCTGTTCCTGCCCTGATGGCCGGCAGAGCCGAGCCTCCAGACGGCGGCTGGGGATGGATGGTGGTGCTCTCGGCGTTCTTCATGTCCGCGCTGGTGTTCGGGGTACTGCGCTCCTTCGGCGTCTTCTTCGTGGAGTTTGTCGCGGCGTTTGAGGAGCAGGCAGCTCGTGTTTCCTGGATTGCCTCTATAGGAATCGCGGTGCAACAGTTTGGAAGTGAGTGTAGCACCTGGCTGCAGGGTCCAGGGACCCTGGGGAAAAAGACAGATGAGGGGGAAGGGACGGCAAGGGTGAGGGGTTTCGAGCATGCCGGGGAGAGTTCCTGAGACTTCAAGGAACTCTCTTTCGCTTCCTCAGGTCCAATAGGTAGTGCCCTGAGCACGAAGTTCGGGCCCAGGCCTGTGGTGATGACCGGGGGCATCTTGGCTGCGCTGGGGATGCTGCTCGCTTCATTTGCTACCTCCTTGCCCCATCTATACCTGAGTATTGGGCTGCTCTCAGGTGAGACCCTGCGCAAGGACAAGAGAGCCAAATGCATGGATCTTTGGTCCATTGATTTTCATTTTCTTCCTGCTCCTTCCAAAAGGCTTAGAGAGAAGTAGAAGGAAAGCTTGACTAGCACCTATGCCTTAAAGGCAATTCTTAGGAAGAATGACTAAATTGATAAAGAGGGTGGGAAATTTAGGAAAGCCAAATAATGATGAATGTCAAGTATACAAACCCAAGGCTAGTGGGAATGGAGTACAAGAGAAAGAATGTCTATAAAATTGTGTTGGGTACTGTGACGGTGAAACAGATATCATTAGCCTATGTACAAAGCCTTTCAAAAATTACACAACTTGACAAAGGAAGGTTATGAAAAGAAATGGTAGAGCTGGGGTCTAACTCCAAAATTCTTTGCGAAATACTTTACAGACCTCTCTAGACTTCCCTACTCCCGTGAAGTGTATTAACACTATGCATTTTGCAAATGAGTAGACTGAGTCTGGGAAAGTAAGTTAAACATACAAGGTCACCCAGCTATAAAGTGTCAAGCCAGGACTATAACCCAAGTCTGTGGGACTCCAAGGCAAAGTCTTCATTCTGCTGCTGGTAGTGTTGTGATTACTGGGTGCCCTGAGCTCCCCACTAAAGTCTCCAACCCGTTTCTTCCTCTTTGACAGGTTCTGGCTGGGCCTTGACCTTCACTCCGACCCTGGCATGTCTGTCCCGTTACTTCTCCTGCCGTCGGTCCCTGGCCATGGGGCTGGCACTAACAGGAGTGGGCCTCTCCTCTTTTGCATTTGCTCCCCTCTTCCAGTGGCTGCTCAACCGCTATGCCTGGCGGGGGGCTCTACTACTGGTGTCTGCTCTCTCCTGCCACATTGTAGCCTGTGGTGCTCTCCTTCGCCCACTCTCCCTGGCTGAAGATACTGCTGTGGGTGGCCCTGGGGCCCAACTAACCTCCCTCCTTCATCATGGGCCCTTCCTCCGTTATACTGTTGCCCTCACCCTGATCAACACTGGCTACTTCGTTCCCTATGTCCATCTGGTGGCCCATCTCCAGGACCTGGGTTGGGACCCACTGTCTGCTGCCTTCCTACTCTCCGTGGCTGCTATTTCTGATCTTGTAGGACGTGTGGCGTCTGGTTGGCTGGGAGATGCAGTCCCAGGGCCTGTGGCACGACTTCTGATGCTCTGGACCACCCTGACTGGAGTATCATTAGCCCTTTTCCCTGTGGCTCAGGCTTCCATAGCCTTGGTGGTTCTGGCTGTGGCCTACGGCTTCACATCAGGGGCCCTGACCCCAGTGGCGTTCTCTGTCCTGCCTGAACTGGTGGGGACTGGAAGGATTTACTGTGGCCTTGGACTGTTGCAGATGGTAGAGAGTGTTGGAGGACTGCTGGGGGCTCCTCTGTCAGGTAAGGGGGATGGGGTTGCTGGTGGGCTACCATGTTGCACCATTGGGGAAAGAAACTATTCCCATTATAGTGTATACAAATATTGCTCTCTGGTGTGGTATAGTATACAACCACATGATCAATCACAGCAGCCCTGAAATGGGTCCATGGGACAAAGAACCTGAACCTCAGAAGGTCTCAGTGGAGAGACAGAGAGGAGCTAAGTGGAACCCTTGGTAGGGTACATATACCCTGGGTTTTCAGAGGACCTAGCTGGACCTGGCTTGACATAGCATTCCAGTGTCTTCCTTTCCTTTGGCCCACTGGGCCACTACCCAGTTATCTGAGCCATCTGGTTAAAGTTCTCCAGTCTCAAGATACCAGACCTTTAACATTTTCCCCTTAACTATTAACTGAAGGCATAGATAGACCACAATTGCTGGAAAGAAACCCACAGGTATGCTAGACTTAATCTGGATCATAAATCCATAGTGGTATCTGGGGCTGGTTTGAAGGTCCTTTCTGAAGGCAGGAAGGTGGATGAAACTACCTTGTGTGGCCCCAAGGGAAACCAGGGTTCTCACATTCACCCAACCCTAGCTTGGGAGTTACAACTCCTCTAAGAACAAGATAGGGAGTCTTTTCTATGCTCAGAAATGGGCCTGAGCTGCCTGTACCAGTGAACAAATCACTCATGCATGTGTGTTCTTTTTTTCTCTTGGACCTAGGGTACCTCCGAGATGTGACAGGCAACTACACGGCTTCTTTTGTAGTGGCTGGGGCCTTCCTTCTTGCAGGAAGTGGAATTCTCATTACTCTGCCCCACTTCTTTTCCTGCTTCTCAGCTCCTACTTCCAGTCCCCAGGATCTTGTAACAGAGGCACTGGATGCCAAAGTCTCCCTGCCCAGAGAGGAGGGGTTGGGAGAAGAGTAAACACCACTAAGAGGCATTCAATGCCCAAAAGCCAGAGTTTGACAGCTCCAGGTCCTTCTCCTGCCTTAACAAGGCATCCACAGAATCGCAGTGCCTTAAGATTCTTGATCTATCTTACCCAGAGCAGGCCTGGGGCTCCTGTGATATATGTGCCAACCCCTTGTATTTCGTGGAGGACTCTCATTTTTTATCTCCTTTGCTTTCCCAGTCTTTTCTGAAGGATCCTGGAGGTCCTGCTCCACTGAGCTATGAATCAACTGTGAGAATCAAAGAGACTTTTTAGTTTTATATGTGATCCCTAGCGTTGCTCTTAAAGTTTCCTCGCAGAAGACAGATGTTTGGGAAACAAGGATATCCCTTTGGGAAAAAACTGAATAAGGAAACTGGATAATAATCATAATCTCAAAAAGATCTGAGGCCCATGTGCTGATGGAGTTATGACGGGGTAGAGAGATCAGGTGTCCAGGAACTCTGGCAACCCAGAGTTCTGTCCTCCAATTCACTTCCCTGCTATTCCTTTGACTTAGAAAAGAAATCAAGAGAACTGCAAGGTGATAGTGTGTGTGTGTGTGTGTGGAGAGTGGGCATAAAAGAACTGAAGTTTGACCCGAGGGTCCTTGTAGTTCATTTCCCCCAGGCCAATAGAGGGAAATTGAAATGCAGGAAAAAGTCTGTGGGGTCTGGATACCCAAGTAAGAGAAATGAAGATGAAACAGATGGTATCCATGAGCAGCTCTCCTTTGATCCCCACAAACAGACTGACTGGCAGACCTCTTCTCCAAGACTCCTGTTATGGCAATGACAGGGCCAAAGAGAAATGGATTGGCTGGACAGACATACTTTCCCCACCCTCAGGGATACTGGGGTCCTGTTCCTTTCAGCCAGCCTTTTGGGAGATCTTAAGTACAATATTTTAAAGGTCCTCAGTTGGTTAACAGTTGTTGGAGCTTTCTGAAGCATCAGATAAAAAATTTTTATTAGAAGGAGGGGCTTAAATGAGACAAGAATCAACAAGTGGTGTCCATAGTGGAGCGAGGGCCTCCCGGAGGGAGGACAACCTTCGGAACTGGGAGTAGCTCCCCCCTCTCAGGAGGAGGGGTAGGTGGAGGTGGGGCTGGAGGGCAGGAGGGGAGAGCCCTGGGGAGTCCCATGTAGATGAAGCTGCCAGAGAGGATGAAAGAACTGCACACCAGGAAAGAAGCAGTGAAGTCTCCTGTCTCATCCCTTAGGAAGCCTGAGAGGAGAGGTAAAGAAATTAGTCCTTGAAACCCAGGGACAGAAGATGGTTGTGAACAGATCTTCTGGCTCAGGTCCTTACCTGACAGGGGAGGGCCCAGGAGTCCCCCCAGGCTCATCAGCATCATCACCAGCCCCGTGGCCTGCACCACACCTCCGATGCCCACTAGCCCCGGGAGCACACCAAAAACCAATGGGGCGTAGCTCCCGGCACTGAGCCCGTAGGCCCCAGCTGCGGCCAGCAGGGGACCTCCCCAGCTGTCATCGCTCCCCACCGCGGGCACCAGTCCCACTGCCAGCAGCCCCAGCCCGGTCAGAGCCCCGAACACGGCTAGCAGTCTTGGAAGGGGCACCCAGCCCTGGTCTGCCAGCCAGCCGCAGACCAGCCGGGCGCCCGCATCCCCGACTGCAGCCACTGCTACCACCAGCGCTGCCCCGTAGCCCCCGAGGCCCCGGTCTAAAGCATGGGGAGCCAAGTGCACGTAGGGGATGAAGTACCCGCCCCCAATCAGGGCTGTGCCCAGAGCGAAGACTGAAAAGGCCCGGCGCTTGAAGAGACCCAGGCCGAGAGCAGCTAAGGGGCCACGAGGTGGGGCCGAGGGGTCGCCGGGGAGCGCCAGGGGGCGCAGCAGGGCGCCACAGGGAGTGAGGTGGAAGGTGACGGCGCCTAGGAGCAGCAGGGCGCCCCGCCAGCCAAAAGTATCAAGGAGGAGCTGCAAGGCGGGCGCCAAGAGCAGAGAAGAGGCCCCGTTGCCTGTGAGTGCCAGCCCCACAGCCAAGACCCGACGGCGGGAGAAGTAACGGGAGAGGGTACCGAGGGCAGGGGCGAAGGCCAGGGCCCAGCCGGAGCCTGAAGACGGAAAGGACAAGATGAGGGCAGGGAGCAGGGGTGCCCGCCCCAGTATTCCCAACTTCCCGCCCTGTTCGTTCCTACAGCCCCCAACAAACTCCTATCCCAACCAACAGCCCAAAATGACCCGGGCATCCCACTCCCCTCACCAGCTAGAAGGCCGAGGCTGAGGTACAGGTGCAGCAGACTTCCGGCGAAAGCCGAAAAGATGAAGCCCAGCGAAGTAAGGGCGCCCCCAACCATCACCACCGGGCGCGCCCCCCAGCGCGTGCTCAGGGCGCTGCCCACTGGGCCTAAAAGGGGCGGAGTCAACGAAGGCGCGCGCGCGTCCAGACCCCCCAAACTCTCTCCGACACTTTTCATTGGCTGTTGCCTGGCCTAAAACTCCTCCCCTGGTCTAATAGCTCCTCCCATTGACCTCAAGACCCACTCTTTTCTAGAACTTGGTTCCACCTTCGGGTTGTCTAGAAATCAGGTGGGTCTCCCATCGCTACGCTCGCGGCCCCTCCACCACGTTCCCACCTCCCACCTTGGGGCCCCCCTCACTGGCTGCCTGCTGCACGGCCAAGGCCAGCGCGCTGACCCACGCAGTGTCCTGGGCGCTTCGGTCAAAGTGTTCTGCGAGGTCAGGGAGGGCAAGGCCCAGCGAGCGTAAGACCCCGTAGGAGAGCCCGTTCACTGCGAAGGCTGCGGCTGCCACCACCCAGCCCCAGCCCCCATCTGGGGGTCCGGCGGTCTTGGGGGTCATCGCCGTCTGCGGGAGTGAACAGACACCTGTGAGTGAAGTCTCCATGCCTGAGCCTCCGCTGAGGAGCCGGCATCTCTGAGATCCAGCGTCTGGCTGCTCACCCAGGGTGGGCTCGTCACCCGAGCTTGGGCGCGGGAGGAGGGCGCGGGAACCAGGCCTATGGATAGAACTCCTGGGTGTGCGGGAGGTACCGGGAAGGAGAAGAGCTGGATCTCTCGGGCCGGGGGATTCCACTTCCCACACGTACCCTCCCCACCTTACCCGACCTCTTTGGGCGGTGGGGGAAGGGGAAGGGTTCCGCCGCGTTTTCTCCCGGCTTCGGCGGGCGGAGCCCCGAAGTGCAGTACGGAGATAGAGCCCAAGTTGGACCGGCTCTCTCCGTAAACAGAGATCACCACCGGGGCCTGAGCCACCTGGGACGCGGGGTGCGGAGGGCGGGGGCGAGCTGAGCTAGCCAATCAGCCGAGCCGCGGGTGAGGCCAGACTCTTGAGTCCCAGGGGGATTGAATTATCCACACGCGGCTCTTGGCCCGAGCTGAGGGCGAAGAATGAATCCGGCTCACGCCCACGCACCTGCCGCAGGCTGAGCACACAGGAGATGCGTGGATTGCGGTCCTTATCAAGCCCACGGTGTGCGGCCCACGCAGGGAAATAGAAGGGGTTCCCAAAACCAAGAAGATGAAAGCTCTGTTCTCGGGAGCCTTGCTGAGGATCTGGTTAATCTTGGATATCAGTTAAACCCCTGATCTCATGGGATGCCTGCTCTTGCTCAATAGCAGGCCCTCAAGGAGGAAGGGAAAAGGGCTCCCTAATATCTGTGATGTGCCTGGCCTGTCAGTCCTTTACCCTATTATTACTTTATCCTTATTATAACCCTATGAGGAAGATGCAGTCACTGAGGGTAGAGAGGGTAGGAATTTACCCCAAATCACTCAGCTAAAAAACTTGTAAAAATACTTGAATTTAGGTCTGCCCAACTGGTGGACCATACAGGGAGGACAAACCTAGGAATGAAATAGAACCTGCCACAGTTAATGGAAATGGCCTGGAGACAGTTTGGAGCAATCTTCCCTGGAAATGACAGAATCTTTGCAGAGGCAGGGAACTGAAGAGACCTTTGCCATCAGAATCTCTAAAAACTTAGGCTAGAATTTTATTTTTTTTATTTATTTTTTGAGACAGGGTCTCACTATGTAGTTGAGACTGACCTGGAACTCACTGTGTAGCCCAGGCTGGTCTCGAACTCTCAGTGAGCCTCCTGCCTCAACCTCCCGAGTGCTGTGATTACAGGCGCGCGCCAACACACCCGGATCTTTAGGCTAGAATTTTAAAAGCAAAGTAAGAAATTGGGGAATGTTGATTTCTTGAAAAACGTTATAACAAGTTTTTTTACAGATCAGCATATCTTTAGATATTTCAATCAAAAAATTGTTGTTTGGTTTAACTATTAATACCAATAAAAATTCATCAATTTACAGATTGGAGCAGGCATCAGTTGGCGGCCACACGATGGCAGTATTTCCTAAATGTTGAGAAAGTGCAATGTGAGGAAAGGTAATGCAACTGCTTAAAGTTGTGAAACTGTAAATATAAAAAAAGGAAAGAAAAAGTCATGACCTTATAGATAAGGGGGAGATCAAATTCGTTTACTTCATTTTTGTTTTGTTTTGTAGTGGGGATTGAACTCAGGACCTTGCGCTTGTGAGGCAGGCGTGGTGCCACTGCGCTAAATCCCTGGCCCTAATTTCTTTACTTCATGTATAAGGCTTTTCATAATAATCGAAGATCCAGACTACATTTCATTCCATCTCTCTACCACATCCCTGCCCTCTTCCACACTCCCAGCCAGTAAATACTCAGGTGCTTCATGGAGATGCCTGGTCTATTCCACAAGAGTCCATCAAAGTTAAAGATCCTGCCAGGTACACTGAAGAAAAGTGGCCCCACCGGTTTCCCCATCCTAGCATGAAGGCGCTCCTCAAGCCACCTGGTGAGGACTCTGCCTCAAGCTGAATGAGGCCAACTAAGACTAACTTCTTTCTGTGGTGAAGCAGAAATGCAGTCAGAGAGGAGACTGGGCCCTCTTGGTTCTGAGAGTTGTACCAAGTAATGCTGAGCACTTTGGCAGAATAGTTATGAACCCAGAAAGGCATTCCAAAGTCTACGACTTGGCTGATTTGTTGTAAAAGAGCACATTCTTCTTCTACATCATGTTCGCTATATTCTTAATTTAAATTGCCATCTGTTGCTTATGGAGGCAAATATAGCTGCCAGAAGAATGGACCCCCCATGCTAGACTTCCTGGGTTTGGATCCCAGCTCTGCTGCTGCTTAGCTACATGATTGCTCTCTGTGCCTCTGGTTCTTGGTTTCTAAAATGGGTGTAGTAGGAGCTACCTGACAGAGTTATCATGGGGATTAGATGAGTCACTGTGTATTCATGTGTAAGTAAGGGATTTAGAACAGTGCTCGTGATAGGTGTTGGTACCCGTTGCTGCCATTGTAGCGCAGGGAACCTGGCTGGACTCCGTCCTGTTGCCCTTTCTGCACCTGGCTGCTCTATAAATGCCTCAAAGTCAAGGAAAGCCATTGGTCTGGTGAATTCACAGTAGAACCACGCGGATTATAAAATGTGAGTGTCTATGAAGAGATTACATGGAAAAAAATTTTAGTATATATTTGTGATGCATAATAATTTCATTCATCTTGCGGAGCCGATACATACAGATATCACATTTTATTTTTAATTCCCCTTCCCTCTCACCCTACTCTTATCCTCCTCCCTCAGATCTTCCCATCTCCATAGAGTCTGTCTCCTTGTTTCCTACAATCTCTCTTTTATTTTGCTCTTTAACTTATTTATATGTTGGGTTTTTCATATAAAATAAATAATGTGATATTTATTCTTCTGTGTCTGATTTCTTTTGCTTAGTATTATGGTTTCAAGATCCATCCATTTTCCTACAAATGACTCAAATTTATCCTTTATGACTAGTACTCCAATATGTATGTATACCACATATTCTTTATCTGTTGATCTGTTAATGGGCATATATTCTGATTCCAAGAGTTAGCTGTTATGAGCTATGCTACTGTAAACATGGATATGCATGTACTGTTGTAATAGGATGACTTTAACTCTTTTGGGAATATAACCAGAAGAAGTATAGATAGGTGAAATGGAATTTTGTTTGTTTGTTTGTTGGTACCAGGGATTGAACTCAGGATCTTGTGCTTGTGAGGCAGGCGGCAGAACCACTGAGCTAAATCCCTGTCCCAATTTTTTTTTTTTTTTGAGAAATCACCATACTGATTTCCTACATGGAAATTTTGGGTTTTTTTTTCTTTGTGTTTTGTTTTTTGTTTGTTTGAATCTTTTACAAAATTTATGAGAAAACACTGGCCTCCTTATGTCGACTCTAGAAACAAAGAATAAAGAAGTCTAAATGAGTTTTATTCATTCTTTTATACAAAGTATTTATAAATACCTACCCTTCCTGGTACCATGCTTAGAAGTACAAATATGAATAAGATACAGTCTCTCTTGTTTCAGCCCCCACAATTAAATTAGACAATCAGTCACATAAAGAAAAGAAATAGAACAAGGAGAGGGACACATGCATGGTAGAGTGCTTGCATGAGAGGAACTGACTTGCTCAGCTTGGGCCTTCTGGGAGGCTTCATAGAAGAGGAGCCCCTGAACAGGGTCTTGAAGGATGAGTAGGAGTTTGCCAGATGAATGTGTGAGCAGGGGCATTCCAGGCAAAGGAAGCAGCTTGTGAAAAATCACATAGGGATGGGAAAGCTCAGAATATTGTTATTAGTAAATAGTTGCTATGTAGAGAACAGAGAGTGGGTAGGAGAATAATGTAGGATGAAGTTACTGGGGAAGAAGGTCCAGACGGAAAGGCCTTGGAGACCAAATGAAAGAATTTAGATGTTTTTCCCGAGACTGATATTTCCCCACATTTCCACTGAAGTAGCATTCGCTAATACTGGAAGCTGGACACAGGAGAGAGGACCCATGCCACATTTGGAGGGGTAAGGACAATCTAGGAGATAGGCCTTTCATGTGGGGGAAAACTCTGAAATATTTTGTTTTATGTAGAAAATTCACATGGAATTTTAGATTTTACTTTATAACAAAATCAATTAACGTATTTATTTATTTTTGAGTCAGGTCTCGCTATGTTTCCTAGGCTAGGCTAGTTTTGAATTCCTGGCTTAAGCAATCCTCCTGCTTTGGTCTGAGTAGCAGGCACATACCTCTGTACCTAGCCGTATAAAAATCTCTAATGCATGTTTTCATAGGAAAGTGATGCTTTGACTAGCTAAATTGTTATGCTACAACTAGACGAATTACCATTTCCTCCTCAAATCCTGAGATCAAGCATACTTTACAGCACTATATACATATTTGTTCCAAGGGGTTTTTGTTTTTTGTGGGGTTTTTTTGTTTGTTTTTTTTCCTGGCACACTGCAGTGAGAGATGACAGAAGACTACTGATGGTGCAGAAAGCCTCCTCTGGGAAGTATCTCTGACCACACCAGATCCTAAACTGCCTACATTAACCTCCGTCAGAACACTGTTAGCCTGCAGTGAAACCGTCCATCCCTTGTATTGTTCCTGCAAAGGAGGCTCTGGAGGTGGTACCTTGTGTTATCAATCTCTGGATCTTTTACACCCAAAGAGGCCAAAGGTGACTGATGAATGGCTGAAAGAGAGAAACACTAGACCAAAGAGGCATTAAGTGCACTTGGTTCCTGGTGCTCTGTGGCATGTGGTGATATCACCAGAAGGAGTCGCTGGTGAATCAAGTTAGTAATGCCTGATGTGGAGAAAGCCCTAGAAGCAGGTGCTAAGGTAACATCTTTAGGGAGATCGTATGAAAGGGTCCAGGATGTATGCACATGATTCATTCAGGGGACCTGGGAGTGTACCTCCATTTATACACTCTAAAGTGTCTATGAAGCTTTCTCGTGGGAGCATCTGCTGGAAGTTCTTGTCACCTCTGGGGCCTGCTCTCGCCCAGCTATGCCTGGGCACACTCAGCAGGATGCCCTCTCTGAAGAAGATGGATGGAGAGGGAAGAGGTAGACAAGGATGGATAGTTTTACCCACATGAACCTTGCTATATTTCAGAAACTCAGAAAGATAAAGATGTCTGGCATTTGGCTCAGTTGATCTTGAGTTGCTAATATCTAACAGAGCTGCCTCCTCTCCCCGAATGCTATCCCCCAAACCCTTTCCTTCCCCAGCTCACCTAGAGATCAGCCCACTGGGAAGTCAACACAGATCTCGAAGCCCAGAACCAGAGGCTGGAAAAGTGGCAGAAGAACATGACCT